ATGGGGGGTGGAGAGAGGATTCACCAGAGGCAGAATGGGGAGCAGAGCAGGTGGATATACTGAAATACACTGCTGAGGGGAGCATTGAGTGAGACAAATGCCATGTTTGTCAGCTCCCTGGTTGGGGATCAAACTCATGCACAATGGCAGGTGATATCCTGATAGTGCTGAGACTTTAACTGCTGCGCCACCAGGGAGGCCCAGATTCTGGGTTCTTGAGCTCTCTAAGAAATGAAAATAATGGAGACTCTTCTGCAAACCCCAAGCAAGGTTTTGTCAAAACATATGCAGTTCTCAGCATCAGGGCCGGGGTCTATAGCTTCTCCCTGAGAAAAGAGTGCAGTTCTATTTGAGCAGTTTGAACCCAGCATCACTGAGGGGCTGGGGAGCCTTTGTTATTTCCATGGGGTCATGAAATCTCCTTGTGCCTATGACTTCTTGCTGTGTCATGGTGGATTCTGTATCATTAGCCTAGAGGGTTTATTAACAGTGAAAACTTTATCTTCTCCAGTAGGAAAAATGCTGCTTTATACATACAATGACTTGACTGGGCTCAGGCTGAGTGAATGTCCATTATCACAGAGCTGCCCAACATTCACTGGACCCTGTCTCCCCCAACACAGATTTACCAGGGATCCATGGGACATGAAGCCTAGTGGAAGCAGACAGAGCTGCCTATGGACTGAGAAGACTTTGGTGCTGTGGCTGGGTGGGCAGGTAGAGTCTGGAATAGAGGCTCCTGTAATCATCTCCCCTCCATGAGAGTTAGGGCAAGAGCAGGGTCTCTCTCCCCTGATCCCTCCCCCTGAATTGCACAGCAAAATTGCTCTTGCAACCCCTGCAGCCCAGCAAGACTCAAGCAGCTCAGACATATGTCTTTTTTAGCTTTTCATGCTCAGTGTTGAGCACAGTGTGTGGCACCAAGTTGACACTCAGTGGTTCCCAACTAACCTTTTCCTGTAGGTCCTGGCAGAAGCTGACTTGATTCCATTCAACAGATGCCCTGTGCACTAAGCTTTTCCTTTATTACCCAACTCTGGTGATGCAGGTAAAGCAATAACATGACTGATTATATTTCACATTAGATGTAATTTATTCACATCAGCTGCAGCCTTTAATCTCACTAAGATTCAAGAGGAGAGATATCTTGAATAGGGATATCTTGAATGAGGGATATCTGGGGCTGGAGTGCCCAGGGAGATAGCCAGAAGTGGGCTGAAGGAATGGAGTCATGACAGTCAGGGAGGCTGAAGCTGACACATCACTTGGTACATCTTCCAGTTTGTGATCTGTCGCCCTTGGCCAGCAAACACAGTCTGGGGTCAGCTGTTTGAGAGTGGCTTTGCCACAGCAGTCCCTGTTTTATTATTCATTTTTACAAATTTTGTTGTAATTTTTTATGTACACCCATATTTTATCATCATCATCATCATCTCTATTTTCTGCTGGAGATCACAGAGCTTTCCCAGGTTCTTTGAAAAGTAATTCTGAATTTCTCTCTATTTTTAGCTCTTTGGGAGATGCTGTTATGCCTAGCTTGGAGGTGCTTCTAGATTGTTTTCAGATGCTCTTGAATGAGGGCCTGTCTCTGGTAGGTTGGCTTTTCCTGCAATGAGTTCCAAGAGATGACGGTTCGGGATGGCATTTGTTTGTTTGATTCATGAAGACTTGGGCCTTGTTGTTCTTTACTGTCGTTGTGACCACAAAGGCTTTCATCAAAGGCTATTTGGAAATAATGCCAGCTAATTAGCTATTGATGATGCAACAAGGTGACTCTCTCTTAGTACCTTAAACCTTTCACCTGAAACACAAACATGCCACACTCGAGCTTTAATTGTCAAGGAAGATGAAAAGTCTACCAAATCATTTGCTGGGTAAAGGCCTCCCTGTTGACATAAGCAACAGGAACCCGCAGGCTTGTGCAATGTGGGCTTGTAGCTGCAGATCCAGCCTCCCAAGCATGCTGTCATGTTGAAAGTGGATGAGTGATGTGTGTGATCTCTTGCAGGCTCCCAACAGGGGCCTCGCATTTCGGCCGGGGTGCCTTGTCTCTCAGTTCTATTCATGAAAAGTACCTACTAAATCGCACCGCAGAGGATTCCTGTCTTGAGTCAGAACTCTCAAGAGAATGATGAGATGGGATTCAAGTGCATGTTTGGTTTCCTTCATGATTCTATTTTTGGTTTATAAAGGACCTCTTGTTCACTCAGTCAACAACATTTGTTTAGCACCAAACATGTGCCAGGTCAGTGGCTACAAAGATATGAAGCCTGCAGAGAAGGGTCTGGAAGTGCAGAATCAAAACAAATGGGCGATAATTAAAAACGACATTGAAAGTGGTATTAGAAGGTGACACTTAGTGTGGCCCTCATTGAGAGGGTTGGGGGTGGGCGAAGGTGGAATCAAGGTATCAGAGCCAGAGGCTTCAAGGAAGATGAGCAGGTGTGCAGGTGTTAATGAATATCCCCATAGACATGGCTTGGCTTAAAATCTGAGTGTGGTGCCTATCAAAATTACTAGGTAAAAGCTAGTGCAAGCCACATTCATCTGTATCAGGCAGCGGTAAATCAGCCTTTACCCACTGCCAGTGTGGCTATAACAAGGCCGTCTGTCCAGTCTTTAGAATTCATCTTTTTCCCTTATCATTTCTCTGGATGATGAGATAATCATGGTTGATTTAACCTATTCAACATTGGTTGGCATGGTACATAACATCTTGTTAAATATCTCCGCACAATATAAATCAGTTGATTTGAAGTCTTATCGTTGGCAGGTGGAGTAATTTAGACAGAAGTTGAACAGGATTCACCTTGAAGAGTCAAAGGAAAGATTTGATAAATAAGCTGGTAGTTAAAGAAAATTATAGGGATTAGTTTAAAATTTTTAAAGAGAACCAATTGATTTAAAGCTTCTTAAAGTTTGACAAGTAACCATTTACATCCAAAAGAAGAAGAATTTTATTTCATACATTTTCCTAAGGAGCCAAATGTTAAATATCAAGTCTAGTTCTATTATTTGAACTTCTTAAATATACTCAGGGGATTTCTTTAACAATTTTATAGCTAATTTTTTTTTACCACATCAAATGGCACAAGTTAGGGCCATTTAAACATTTTTATTAAGCGATTACTATCAGGAAAATGGTTCCAATAAAGGTCTTGAATTGGTTGATGTAATGGAACTGTTTTTAGACTTTCTAAGGACATGAGGCTCGTTGAAATCTGGTGAAGGATAAAGAGTTTCCTGAGAAACAGATACATACAAAGAGCTTGACATGCTACTGATCCATGAAAAATCTGATTTCAGCTTTTCTGAATTGAAACCCTACTCATTAATGCTCAAGCAAGTCTCACCTAGTATGATAGTTTACGTGTTCACTGCACATAGTGGGACTTCTCAGTCCACGAAATTAGGAGGAGAGGAGCCAGCTCGCAAAAAACTCAACAAAACAGTTTCATGAACTCTTTTAAAAAATTGCAAATAAGTCCAGTGTCATTACAAGAGAACTTTTAACACATCAGCTATTTTACCTTAGATATATGCCCAATATATGTGAAATATAGGCACATGGCCATATATATTATAGGTATAGAAATATCTATAATATATACTTATATACTTGTAAGTAATATCTATAATATATACTTATATGTGATATATAAGTATGTATAATTTGATAGTACTATATAATACATATTGCTATGTAATATATGTGAAAATATATGATATAAATACATATTCATAAAGTGGATTTCAGGTTTCCTCTGGGTCTCATAAAAATATGACTTGTAAATCATACATGTCATCAAATATCTACAGAGCACTTCTGTATGGAGTAGCTCTTTTTGTTATATTGTAAAACTTGTCAAGAACAACTTGAATGTGGAAAAGAAACTCTCCAGATACGTTCTCTCAAAGGGTTACTGTTTATGCCGAGTCCCTTTGTTTTCCTGGGGAGCTTTGCCTGTGGGCTTTCCCCCTCTTCTTCCTAAGGAAAAGTTCAAGTATGTGAGGGCCAGCGGCAGTGTCAAAATGTGGCCAATGACTTGCATGGAGGGAGCACTTGTGTTGCAGGAGAATTTTTTGGGTTTCATTTAGACTCATTCAGTGGTGGAATGTCTTCCCTTGAAAAGCAGAAAAGACTGGGTCGGGGCCATGCATGCAGTGGAAGCAGGCGTGCCTTTCCCCTTCTTTCCTTAGTGCATAGGGTGGATTACTAGGAATTGAGTAAATGGCACACAGGACACTGGAGCAAGAAGGATCTTGCAGTGATGTGAGGGCAAGGCCCCTTTTGTCATATAAGGTGACATCCTTGGACTCCAGGAATTAGAAAGTGAGCATATTTGGGAGAACCATTAACAGAAGACACTGAGAATACACCTTGAAACTTCCACAAACACCTCATGATGTCACTTGTGTGTGGCATACAGAGAAAACAGATAAACTAAGTCAAACAGATAAACTAAGTCAAACTTCTGGGAGAAAAAAGGAAGCAGCTTTCCTCATCCGTCTGGTGGTGCTTTCTTGTCTTATATTTGGGAAAGGGAACTTAAAAGCTCAGAAAACTTTCTACCCAAAGGTAGATCTCTTGTGCCAAGTGTCTCACAGCAGAGAGAACTGGGTGGGCTCTTTATTCAGGATCTTGAATATCAGTCTCCTTAGGAATTTCCTCCTGGGTTGATCAGTTTCCATAAAGAAAATTCTTTGTCTCTTACCTGGAAGGCAAAGGCTTGACCACCATTGTTTCCAGAAGCCCATGAGGGAATCAGCCACAGGAAAGCAACGTTCAAGCTGCAGATGTGTCCTTAGGACCCTGCTTTCCAATATGGCAGATGTCTCCAACCTAGAGTCCCTCTGTTTCTCCTCTGAGGAATAAACCTGAAGTATCATGTCTGTGCGGAAAAGGGGTGGTCCATGGTGACAGAGAAACAGGAGGGGGAGGCTAGACATTGACCTGCGTGTCTGTTTTTTACCTTCACCCTTTTACCCCCATTTTTCAGAAGTACTGGATGCTGATGATTCCTGAATCTTCTGCAACATTAGTTGAGTTGGTTCTGGACTTAACTCATTGCCAGATTCTGGTACTCTCAGGTGATTTATCATTTGTCCTTCTGATTTCTAGTGTTCAAAATTTTGTAATCATCATTTCCCTATTCTTGACAGTTTATAACTTAAAAATTCCTTTATCTAGCTTTGCATGGAGTGAATAAAATGAGATTTATGAGTGGAACCTGCCATCTTCAGCTGGAATTTAGCGTGTGACTCCTTCAGAATGGACACTAAGCAGCCCCACAGCTGGAAGATATGTGGACCTGTCTACAACTCTCTCTCAACTCTTTAAGATATTGTTGAAGTTCTTGAAACATCACGTATTTAAGGTGTATGGTTTGACATATGTATATACACATCATCATGATGAAAACTGAATATTTCCATCACTCCTTCCCCACACATCCACTGATCATCTTCTTGTCACTATATATTCAAATATTTTCTCTAAAATGTTATTAAAATGGAATCTAACAGTAAAAGAAACAGAGAAAAAAAATCTCTAAGATTAGTTTCATCATCTTTCCTTAAAATAGAAACATCCTTGGAACAGGTAAGGCTTTTGTTTCCTTGATCAAAAAGTAGGATATCTGTTACCTCAGGTTGTTCAAATTGTGCTCTATTGTGCTTGTTGTTATGGTGTAATTATTAAAAACATCCCCTCTTTTCTCTTAAAAAAGTGTTCCAAGTTTGGACCATAACCACCCTGTGGAAGGGAAGAAAGGAACAGGACCCCTTCCTAAGCAGAGTCCCCGATTGGGGGGTGTGGCAAGTGTCCTGTGTCCCTCATAGGACATTGTCAAGTGTGGGACACAGGACACTTGACAGTTCCACACTTTAGAGAAACCCTAACTGAAAGTCAATCATTAGGTCTTTCTTTTTCTAGCTTGGAGGTGCTGGGTGAGAGGGCTCGGGACCCCCCAACTTCACCTACAGCAGCTTTCTTCTATCCCTGTGCATGTGGGACTTCCACATGACAGGATTCTGCTGGGAAAACAAAGCTGATTGGAGGATAACCAGGGAGTCTGCACACTCCCATCTTTCTATCATGCTAAACTAGAGAAGATTGCATCTCTGAACTTTGTTTTGAACAATTCCCCAAGCATATGTAAGCCACAATTCCCCCATCTTTATAATGCGGACAAATGAATGGATTGGGCAGTGTTTTGATGAAGGCTGGAGAGAGTGCATATAAAAACTAACAGACTGACTGGGGCATAGGTGGGGAATGACTAAAAGTCATCATTACTAAGAAATAAAAATGTTCTTAAGTCACAGAAATCAGCAACGTTGGTATTTTCTGGTACTGAAGAAAAAATATTTCAACGATCCATCATATAATCACATCAACTGAATAATAGGTGAAAATTTTTATTTGGTTAGTGTCTCAGGTACACCAAAAACCTTTACTTCTGAGTCCCTGGTACCTAAGGGCAAGAAACCCGAGGACCCTGCTGTGCTTCCAGAAAGCCCCATCCTAAATCCTCACCCTACATCCTGGGCTTACCTACCCTCTTCCAAAATGCTGTGCAGCTGCAGGTCCACTAGGAGCTCTCCATACCTCCTTCTGCTCCTTCTTTCCACACAGTATAAAAGCCCTGTGTGTTGGCCTTTGCAACACACACACACACACCTGTCCCCTTGAGTCTGTGCTCCTGCCCAGTGCTCCACCTTTGAAACTGATGCCATTGACATGCCTGCTAGGTATATTGGAGGATCTAGTTTCATTGGCCCAGTGCCTGGTTGCCAGTATGAAGTCATTGAGATTACTGCTCCTTGAGAAAGTGTTTCTAGTCAAGAACAGCCCTTTATGAACATCTGAGAGTCAACACTTTCTTGGGTGAATTAATCCAAGACAGAGTCAGGAGAAAGCAAAACTTGTTCAAGCTCTGGATTGAATGGGCAGAGGAGGTGAGAGCTTGGGGTGTTGTAAGGTTCCATGCATTTTACGGTGAGTACTAGATAGAAGTAATACCTGCTTATAGTTGGAGATGGCAATAGACCATCTTGCCTTCTGAGGTTGCTACATCTAAGATCTGAGATTCCAGACCAGGTTCTTTGGGTCTCGGTGATGTCAGTCAATGATGGACAGTAAATAGTCTTTGCAGCTGGCCTCTGCCCAAACTCTCCTTGTACAAACCTTTTCCTTGATATATAGAAGGACAGTCTAATCTCCCTCCTTTGACACAGGCCTGGTCTTAGTGATTTTCTTGGTCATTGGAAAGTAGTGGTACATTCTGATACTTCAAGGCTACATACTAGTCTGCATTGGTCCATTGGAATGCTTGTTCTTGGGAGCTCTCTCTTGGAACTCGGCTGCCCACTGGTGTAGGTTGTCTGGTTGGAAGTTGCAGGCGAGATTCTAGCCTACCAGCAGCATCAACTTCTGACCCCTAGAATGGGCCACCTGGCATATCTGATTCAGTTGAGAGGTTGGAGGACTGCAGACCTTGCTGATACCTCATTCTGAATGAGGAAGTTTCACCTGAGACTGGTCTACCTGCAGATCCAGGGGACATAATGAACCATTTGCTGGCTCATTCCCCAGTAGTGGGCAAGCAGAATGGACAGGGAGGGAGCAGCTGATGTTTGTGTCTGGCTTGTGAGTTTACATAGAGGACCACAGTTCTACCACATTGGTAGTCTGTTTTCAGACATGACACCACTTGGAGGAGTGGTGGGCATGGCCCAGTGGTCTCAGTCAACTTTAGAAACCTCTGAGAGCCTGAAACCACAGGCTCAAGTCCTGGAAAGGCTGACTTGGCCTCTTAATAGCCTGGTCCTGTCTGATCTCCTGATTCTCTGGGCTGTCCTGAACTCTTGCAATGAAGACACAGAGGCCTTGGGCATAGCCAGGCAACATGTGGTTCAGAGGAGGGTCATTTGTGATCCAACGGCCAGAGAGACTGAGAGGAGAATTGGCTTTTAAAACATGACCGGCTGACAATATAATATTGTGTGATCTTGGGCAAAAAGAAGGGGAAGCATCTAGAAAAATGCATGTTGTTACCTGGAGCTATAGGATGACTCAGATTTTAAAAGGGCACTTACCGAAGATAAAAGGAGGGGCCCAAAGCCAAATATATATCCAGTCCAGGAAAATGGACTCATAAAAGTAGTGGCAAGAAAGCAAAAGCTGATGAAAAGCACTAAGGACACAACAGATTTTTCAAAGAGCAATGTTGGAAGTGAGCTCCACATGGGCTGTGTAGACCTGAACTTGAGTCAGGTAGTATGATGAAAGTATCAGTTTCATCCTAAATTCATATTTGACTTTTCCTTGAGGGGGAGTGACATTAAAATGAAAGCCATAGGCCAAATATAAGGTCATTAAGAGCACTTTCCAGCCCCCCAATGAGTGAGCCATCAGTTGCTCTGTTACATTAAATGTTGATTAAATGATTTCAGCTTTGATGTGGAAGATGATGGTGTCTTCTGATGTCCTTGCTGTGATAGGAAGGGATGGGGCTGCCTCATGGTGTGTGGGATGATTTATGGCTGGGGGGACAGTCAAAGGTGTATATATTCAAAGTGACAATCTGTGGCTCTGGATGAGGAGTGAAGGCCCAGACTGCAGGGTTTCAGCCTTCTGTCCCTGGGGTTGCCTGTGAGCCCTTGTTCTGAATGTAGCAACATGTCCTTAGCTGTGCCTGGGCCCCCTGCTGAGGCTCCTCTTTGATCCCAGCTGCTGTCATGGGGCTGGAGGAAAAGGTATCTACCCAAAGGGGACAATTCAAAAGGAAACCTGCACCCCTATGTTTATTGTAGCACTATTTACAATAGGTAATGTATGGAAACAACCCAAATGCCCAAAAATAGATGACTGGATCAAGAAGATGTGGTACATATACACAATGGAATATTACTCAGCATTCAAAAAGATAAAACTCATGCCATTTGCGAAAACTTGGATGGAGCTGGAGGGGATCATGCTCAGTGAAATAAATCAGAAAGAAAAAGAAAAATATCAGATGGTTTTACTTTTAGGAAGAATGTAGATGATCCAAATAAGGTAAATAGTAATTATAATAAGGTAAATATCAAAATTAACAGGCAACTATAAACCAGAGACATTCTACAAGGGGAAGAGGGGAGTAGGATCAAAACAGGTGGGAAGAGCACAAGGAACTAGGGTGATGGTACACGGGTGAATTGGTGTTGGGAATTTCATGGGGATTATAATCGAGATGAGAAAGCATACATTGTACAAAAATGAAGAATGATGTAAAAAAATGTATAAAAGTAAAAAAATTAAAAAAAAAAGGTGACCCACGGGACTACCTGCGTCTCACAGCATGGATGCCATCTTCCTATCATAGCTTTCTTTGTATTCTTACTTATGTAAGAGCCTGGTGTGGAAGTCTCTGAATCTTTGGTGAATTCATGATATAATTAGGGTTGATTTTCCCACCACCAGCTTTCTTGGCTCCTTTATTATTTAGGATCACATTATGTGTTTCTGGCTTCCAACATTTGATGGCTCTTCTCTCTTTTCCTTTTCTCCTGATCCTTGGAAATTTACATCTTAAAAATAAGAAAAATGCTTAATTTAATCTTGGTAAACTTTGGGAGAGAATGTTAGTCCCTGGACAGTCTAGTTCATGCTATGGTTCTAACGTTGTTACACATCACACCCTCTGTCACTGGGACAATAAATGGCAAGTTTATGGATGCAAGTGACTGTTGCTGCTTTTCCTCACATGCAGAGCTAGCCAAAGCTCTGAGGCACTCCTCTCCCAGATTTAGGAATGTTTGTTATATCTGCCATGGGACTCTCTAATACACTCATGTTTTTCTCTACTTCCTTTGGTCTAAGGATATTTTTCCCTTCTGGGTATACTCAAAGCCTCTTTCTTTTCCTTCCTTTCTAGATCCTCTCTCCCTCCCTTCCTCCTTCTCTCTACCTCTCTCCCTCTTTCTTTCTATCATCAAATCAATATATCTGTCATCTATTTTTAAATATATAATTTTTATCTACCTACCTACCTATTATCTATCTATCTTTCTATCTATCTATCTATCTATCTATCTATCTATCTATCTATCTATCTACCTACCTACCTACCTATTACCTACCTATCTATTATGAATCTATCAGTTGATGAATTCATTTGTCTCTTTACTCCATTCGATTCTAATGGGCTGTAGACATGAGCAGACAATTCACCAAATAGGATCTCTGGAAGCCCAAAAGATATGAAAAAGTATTCATTATGCTTCCAAAAGGAGAGATGCAGGTTAAAAAACCACAGTGAGACAATAGCTCACACCTGTGAGATTGGCACATATTGAAAAGATCCCCACCCACCCCCCACCCCCCGCCCTGCCCAGCAATAAGTGCTGGAGAGATTATAGAAAAAGAGGAGCTTGGTTATTCTGCTGTGGGAATATAAACTGGTACAGAAAGCAATCTGTATTTACCTTAAAAAAATCACTCATAGCAGGAATATAGGAAACCTAAATAAGGGATCAGGAAAAAGACT